AATGCTAGAATTCTCTAAACTCCTCTGGACGGGTGAACTTGTCGACCCCTGTTCAGCTATCTTATTTTGCTTAACACTGTGTGACATGACCTCCGAAATAACAATATCGTCACAACTCGACATATCATCGACAAAAACATCTGCTTGCTCAAAAATTAGGCTGTTTTCTTCGACAACAGCTCTTTGAAAAATTTGAGGTTCTTCATTCAAGACCTCACACAAACACCCAGGAGTTTTATCCTGAACGGAAGAAGCAAAAAAATTCGGCATACCGTCGCCTGACAATGAAGTCGCGTGTCCTTTGCTAGTACTTGTTATGACTACTTCAAGCAACTCAAGCAGCTCAATAACGATATCTAAAATGATGGAAAAAATGATGACGATACTACTCTCCAAACAAGCGCCTTGTTTTCCTAGTCTACTACTCTGAGTAGGGTGAATAGAGGAATGTTTTGGCGAGGTTTGACAATCATCTTCGACAATAACATGCTGCGCTAAATTAATTCTCTCATCTACTGAAATATCGGCAGGCTTGGCTTTACTGAAAGCAAGTTTTTTAGCATCGCACGCTTCTCCCGATAAATTTCGGTCTACAACTTTCATTAAAGGCTTTTGTAGAGTATTTGACGCCCCCATCACGGCTTCATTTTCTAGCGATACAGGAGCACTTTTCAGTTTCCCTGCGTCTTAGACTACCACTGAGAAGCATTATGACCCCTATTTTTATAAAAATTTTGTCTACCACCCCCACGGCGAAAATTTCTAGGATCAGGTTTTAGAGCGACAACACAATTAAAACAAACAGCATCGCCAAAACGAGACCGGGAACTCCTGGACTGATAATTCTGGTTTGAGCGCTGATTATAACCACTGGGTCTAATCAGATACGATGAAAATATGAAGTTCATATATTTTGAACTGCGGTTATAGATACGAGTGATACACGATCCTCGCAGTAGAGAGCGCTATTTATGCAATAGCGAAAATCAGACCTGAAAAAAATAAATCAATAATAAATCAACTTAACGGCCTGCTCCCAGTTGGCTTGTTAGCTCAATTGGTGGTTCGAATCCCGTACAGGCCTGATTTTTTTCAGGTCTGATTTTCGCTATTGCATAAATAGCGCTCTCTACTGCGAGGATCGTGTATCACTCGTATCTATAACCGCAGTTCAAAATATATGAACTTCATATTTTCATCGTATCTGATTAGACCCAGTGGTTATAATCAGCGCTCAAACCAGAATTATCAGTCCAGGAGTTCCCGGTCTCGTTTTGGCGATGCTGTTTGTTTTAATTGTGTTGTCGCTCTAAAACCTGATCCTAGAAATTTTCGCCGTGGGGGTGGTAGACAAAATTTTTATAAAAATAGGGGTCATAATGCTTCTCAGTGGTAGTCTAAGACGCAGGGAAACTGAAAAGTGCTCCTGTATCGCTAGAAAATGAAGCCGTGATGGGGGCGTCAAATACTCTACAAAAGCCTTTAATGAAAGTTGTAGACCGAAATTTATCGGGAGAAGCGCGCAATGCTGATAAACTTGCTTTCAGTAAAGCCAAGCCTGCCGATATTTCAGTAGATGAGAGAATTAATTTAGCGCAGCATGTTATTGTCGAAGATGATTGTCAAACCTCGCCAAAACATTCCTCTATTCACCCTACTCAGAGTAGTAGACTAGGAAAACAAGGCGCTTGTTTGGAGAGTAGTATCGTCATCATTTTTTCCATCATTTTAGATATCGTTATTGAGCTGCTTGAGTTGCTTGAAGTAGTCATAACAAGTACTAGCAAAGGACACGCGACTTCATTGTCAGGCGACGGTATGCCGAATTTTTTTGCTTCTTCCGTTCAGGATAAAACTCCTGGGTGTTTGTGTGAGGTCTTGAATGAAGAACCTCAAATTTTTCAAAGAGCTGTTGTCGAAGAAAACAGCCTAATTTTTGAGCAAGCAGATGTTTTTGTCGATGATATGTCGAGTTGTGACGATATTGTTATTTCGGAGGTCATGTCACACAGTGTTAAGCAAAATAAGATAGCTGAACAGGGGTCGACAAGTTCACCCGTCCAGAGGAGTTTAGAGAATTCTAGCATTACAACCCATCTCTGCTCCAGTTCTGCGGATTCTTTTTTGAAGCCGGACTCAAGTCGCATTGACAATTTCGCTGAGGACGAAGTCGATTTCTTTTGTGCCTAAAAGTTCCCTCCTACCTGTTACTATTAAGGGTCATGATTTTCCTTGTTTAATAGATTCTGGAGCTGCTGTCACGGCAGTAAGTGCTAAAGTGTGGCGCTAGTGTTTGCCTCACGTCTACCCTAATCTTAGTGTGCCCTGGTCCTACACCAAATTTGGTGGGGGGTTTTACGACTCGCTCGGCCGAATTAACGAGAGGTGCTAAGAATCTGTACTTTTCTTCTTTTATTCTCTTCTGGAGAGCTACTACAGCAACGCTTTATGCATCTAATACTCTGTGCATCTAATGCTCTACGCATCCAATAATCATGCGATAGGTACTAACGCTTTAAGTAGGAAAACCGTAGACGTGTTTGGGTTAGCTAACCATGAAAGTTTCCACAGTATATCCATTTATTTTGCAAAAAGGGGGAAACTGGTTGGCCCTCACCGAAGTACTTGGCGAGCACCAAGGAACCAATTAAACGTTAACAGCTGCGCACAGGAATTGCGCACACAAACCAAACTCAGTGTGGCACCAGGGGTGCCAAAATTTGTTGGAGGTTTTACCAACTCGCTTGGACGAATTAACAAGAGGTGCCAAGACTCTGTACTTTTCTTCTTTTTTTTTTTAACTTCTGGAGAGCTACTACAGCAACGCTCTTTACATCTAATAATCATCATGCTCTAGCGTGAGGAATCAACGCTTCAAGTAGGAAAACCGTAGACATGTTTGGGTTAGCTGACCGTGAGAGTTTCCGCAGTGTATCCGTTTATTTTGCAAAAAGGGGGAAACTGGTTGGCCCTCACCGAAGCACTTGTCGTGCGCCAAAGAACCAATTGAACGCTAACAGCTGCGCACAAGAATTGCGCACACAAACGGGAACTCGGTGTGGATAGAACTCAAGGTCATCTTTGCCAACCCAAACATGGCCACCCATGAAACTAGTTATTCTAGCACGTAAGAAGTCTAGCACGGTAAGAAGGAAATCCGCGAACTGAGCCAAGTTCACGCACACACTAAAAAAAAAAACATCAAAACTATAGATCTACCAAAACAACACGTAGACGCAAAAAGGCGAGAATTAACAAAACAAAAGGTAAACCTAAAAATACTCGAAATAGCAATCCTTTAAAATACTCTACAACATTTCTCCCCGCCTAAATTAAGCATCGTCCTCGATGATTACGGTAAAGGGAAGACTACATGCAAGCCTTAACTTATTTGATAGAAAACAATTATTTTCTTTTAGTGTTTTTTTTTATTTTTTTTTTTTATCTAGACCTATTGGTTCAGTCGCAACCCAATCAAACGGTCGCTAACTAATTGCCTAAAGTGGACTGCGCTATCTGCTAATAGCAGATCGTTAAAAACAAAAACTCCTTCGTACTCGCGCGACACGCGAACCAAAAGGCTACAGGCTAGGGAAAGGTAATTCCTTATTTTCAAAGTAAACATTACCTCACAAAGCTGATTTTCTTCATACAAAGGGTAAAAATGATCAGGAATGGGTGCCTGAAAGACATGTGTTAAGAACTGTTCATGAACCATGAAGTAATGGCTAATATTTACAAATTCAACTAGGTCATGAGTGTCCCAATCGATGGCACGTCCTTTCCCGGAAAAGAACCCTAAAAATGAATCAAATGCCTGCCATGAAAAATATTGGTTTACACGGAGTACGGGAGTGACCTGTCCCGGAGGTTGATTCTCATACCTATTCTTGAAGGTTGCGAACAACCCGCTAACCGACGCTAGCTGGATGGCACTTACTTCATCTAGTTGATGACCTTAGTGAGCCTTATCTGGACGAGTCCGATATTCCAGATGATAACTTTGAGTCAGAGCTTCCTGTCGATAAAAGGGTCAACTCTAGACCGCCAGTTTCAGATACTACTGATTCAAGTTCGCATTCAGACAATCAGGTCCAACCTTGTTCGGATTCCTCAGAGAAAGACGACCATAGAATTTTTCAAGCTGAACGAATTCTTAAATCTCGTAAAGAGAAAGGCAAAATGGAATATCTAGTTAAGTGGCATAACTTTCCCAGAAATCAGTTGACTTGGGAACCAGAACAAAAAATTTTAGATAGACGACTTGTTGATAATTTTAACAACTCAAGGAAGTGACGAACTCTCGTATAGTCAATTCATTTCGGCATGCGACGCTCGAATTGGATGTGCCAGGCAGGCGTTCTA